AAACTGAAGCGAACCGGACTTGTAAAACGTTTTAGGATTCCTAAAAACCTAACATCACATGGACAACCCGTAAACATAGCTGATGATCCACTTTCAACCTCGTAACCACACATATTCTATATAAGTTTTATGGCTTCATTTGTTTAACTTCGTCTTTATTTTCTTTGTCGTCACTTTAGGTTTCTAGAATAACACTTCTTATTGGTTGGATTAGAGATTTTAAAAATGGGATTTGGCAATAATTTGAGATTGTGAAGGGAGGGGGGCTATGGACATAATTGTATCATGAGTTTTAAGGGTGTAGTGATAAGCATATGGAGAGTGTTTGTTTCACTTTTGCTTGACATTCTACTAAAGACATGGTCCCATATTCAATTCAATTTCTTTTGGGTACATACTTTTGTGCACGTGTGGTGTGCCATCATCGTTTCTTTATATGATCACACAAAACCAATTCATTCAAGATCTTGTAAAAATAAAAATGATCGCGTGAGATGTTGCGTGGCGACGAGGTCAAACTTCAAGCCTTTTGGCAGTTGCTGAATGGTTCGGTGCAGGATAATTAAGTGGCTCTCATGATGTAATGCAAAATGAAATAATAATGGTTTGATAATTGTTTATAATGAAATTAAGGCTTTGAATGGTTAAGGGAGACTCATGATACAAAATCATTCAGAGGGTTTAGAACATTAAGAGGCAAACTTTTTTTTTGTCAAACAAGATTCACCTCTTAATGATTCAGATGCTGTCTCTTAATGGAACTATTAAGAGGTAAACAAACAACCCCTTACACTTCAAGACGAGGATGCGACACTTTTCAAGGCGTGACGTAAGGTGGTAAATTTGTATGTTATATATAGAATTATATATCATTTAATCAGATCATGATATTGAAAAGTTACATTCATATTAGAAGAAAAATCATATAACTATTATACAAATAGTGTTTGATTAAATATTCAAAATAGAACTTAATAAGATAATTTTACAATTTCGTTTTAATCGTGAATCCGTGATGTATATAAATTCGTGAACTGTGAATGATGTGATTAGATAAATCAATAAAAGTGTAAAATCTAAAGTTAAAATTGTAAAAACACAAGGTTAAAAAAATAAAAAATCTAAAAGTATATAGTTTTTTGGAGAAAAGTGATACCTAGAAAAAATTGCAAGTCGTGGCGCGCCTCAAGACGCTACGACATGAGTCACGTCTTACAGAAACATTATAGGTTTTATCATAATGGCACAGATGTGTCTTATGCATTATCGTGCCATGACGCGCCTTTTAAACACTGGCATGAATTGGTCTATCCAAAAAACACATATAACGAACTGAAATAAGATTTTTGGACCGTTCACCCAATCGCTTACCTGCAAGAGTCCACACTCTATCTTACCTTAACAAGTAAGATACTAGTTCATCAAAATGGCACTGTATTGAATAATTTTCCCGGTAAGCGGTTACTGGGTAAGAGTCGTCACCCTCACTTACCTAATAAGACTCTCGGTCTTTGCAATCGATCTTATCGGGTAAGATTCTTAGTATTCACCATGTTTATCCAGAAAGGTAAGTGACCAATTAAGCACTTATTGGATTAGCGTTTGGTAAACAACCCATTACTTTGAGGTTAACGCCAAGTATAAATAATTAAAAGTTGATACATAAATAATGTAGATGAAAATAATTAAGTTACTATAACAATAAATCTATATAATTGTTAGAATATGTGGTGAGACGAATGATCGTGTGAGAAAGAGAACTAAAGTGAGAAGCGTAAGAATTGATCTGAACCTTTGATCACTTCTAATCTCAACTCCGTTCATGAATCGTGCGTGATACGGGAATTGGTTCAGTACATCTCATTTGAATGTGCATCCAAGGGTGAAGATCCCTTATTACACTTTCCACATTAACCCTCTTTCTTACTGTAAATCTAACCCTATGTGTTGATAAAATTTATGCAAGATAGTTATAAGTTGGTTTGTGAGTATAAGTTTAGAGGATATAAGTACATGTAATTGGTCGGCATGGCCCCATCCAATTTTTCTTTTCTTTTATGTAGGTTAAAAATAAATGTTCTTTTAACATTCTATCATAGTTTCTTTCAATAATTTCAATAATTTCTGCATGTGCCTTCACCAACGAAAATAAGTACCTTGAAATCAACCAAAAAACCAAAAAAGACTTTTGAAATCAATCAAAAATCCGAAAAAGTTCTTCGAAGTCGACAAAACACTGAAAAGTTCCTTCAAATTAACCAAAGAATTTTTAAAAATCCCTAAAAACGGTGGAATTAGACTAAAAACACATCGGACAACTTTGTGCGTCTTTAGTCTACCTTAAAGGTGTCTCCACTAGGCAAAAATTCTGGATCCGACACTGCCATCTTGAATGATGATGATAAGTGAAAAACAAGTTTTCTAAAGATATAGAGAAAGTTCGGTTTCAAGGATAAGGAAAAATACATCGTTTTAGAGGTACAAATCACATCTATAGCGCACACACACAACCATGAGAGAATTTAGAGAGAATAGAGGGAGATATCGGGAAATATATAAGAAGAAAGCAAAGGAAATCGTGAAGAACTAATATTTGGAAACCGATCGAGCACATGATAGTGGTTCTCTCCAGTGGAGAAGTTCGGTGATCGTTTCAGAAGTTGGCTTTGATGAGGTTTGAAATCTTGGAATCGAATGATTATGTGTTTAAACTCGATTTTGTGATACATGATTTACGTATAATAACTATGAATATGTCATTCAACATGTGTATTTTTATGATTAAATTATAATTCTAAACTTTTATGGTAACGCATAATGAGATTTCGAAAAACAGAAAAATGATTTTAAAATTGAAAATTGTGCATCTCTAATGGAATTTTCGTACCAAAAACAATGGTATCTTCAGTTATGGTCCTTCTGGGATGTAAAATATATCTCTTCTCACCATCTCTATGGTGTATGAGACAAATGTAAGCATTTTGATTTGGGTCGTATTCTATGGTTATGATTCTACCATATATGTCTTTTTCATTCCGTTGAAAATCTATTTTACGGTATAGACGCTTATGACCTCCACCTATATGTCCTGCGATAATGATTCATCTGGTATTACAACCTTTACCACAATGATGTTGTCTATAGATCAAATTATTTCGTGGATTGGATTTCAGTTAAGTTGTTGTTTTAATTTTGAGAAAAGTTTAAAAAACCCAACAAAATTTTCTATTCTGAATGGTTTAGTCCTAAACTATTTTTTTGAATGAAAAAATCATTAAACTTTCTCATTTTGAATGATTAAGTCTTTAAACTGTTTTTTTTAATGAAAAACATCATTAAACTTTCTCTTTTTTTGAATGAAAAACAATTAAACTTTCTCATTTTAATTGATTAAGTCCCCGAACATATTTTTAACAAATACACAATCACACTTTTGAAAATTGGTTACTTACATCATTTTAACTAAAAAAAAGTTACATTAACCGACTAGCAAATATTTGATGATTTTATTTATTTATCATTCAAAATGTGAAAATTTAATGATATTTTCATTCAAAAAAATAGGTCTGAGACATAGGGGCCGTTTATTAAACACTTACCTAGTAAGTGATTACATGGTAATTTTTCTTATCGGATGAAATGACAAGGTGGTCAAAAATCTTACCCGGTAAGAGCAACCATACAGATGGAGAGTCTTACTCGGTAAGTGAAGATAACAACTCTTACTCGGGTAAGTGTTTACCGGATAAATTGTTGCATACGATACCACTTTAATGTACTACAATTTTACCTGGTAAAATAAATTATATTGTTGACTCCTAACATTAAACGCTTACCGGGTAAACATTTAGGTAAACGACCCCTTAATTATTCAAAATAAAAAAATTTAATAGTTTTTTCATTCAAAGATTAACTTAAAGATTAAACCATTCAATATGAAATTTTTTATTGCATTTTTCCCCTTTTTAACTTTGAATTCATGATGAATGAGGAGTTAGATAAAAAAACATTTGGGCCTTGCTATTTTACGTTAAATTGGGCTACATTTGAAGCCCACTTAAAAAAACAGCCTCCATTTTGAAATTCAAATCTCGAAATCAATTCTCACCATCGTAGGTTTCTTCTTATATTTATCTCTTAACGGTCGAATTCTTAAAACGGCTACTCGATTTCCATTCTCTCTCTAGCTTTCTTCTCAAATTTGGGATTTTGATTTAGTTCATTACTCATATACAAACTGATCGTGTTCTTGATTTCCCCATTCCTCTATAGTGGATTCACTTATCTGTTGATCCAGTTGCCAATACCACAGTTTTTCAGGTTTGCATTTTAGATCTCGATTCATCTTTGCTTATATTTTTCTGTATGTAGTTTTTATAAGTTGATCCATTGATTTAGAATAGGAAATCTCAACGATACATGTCATTTCAGTTTTGATTGAATTGATTCTGTATACGTGTGGTACTCACTCGATCAATAATTTGATGAGGGTTTTATTATATGCATTTTTCTGTTTACATGTTGATTATGCTTAGAGTGAGCTAGATCTCTCCATGGCTGACTTTGATCACAAACCAGAAATTGATACATCCATCTAATTTCAAGTTACATATGCATTTTCACCTTTTAGGTCAAATGTGTACTTACGGTTTTGGGGGAAAAGTAATTTTAGTCACATTTTCAAGTTACCCAAGGGCCTTTGGCCTAGTGGTATCGTAGTCTTTGGCCTCCTAGGAAGTTAAGGGTTCAAACCTCACCAAATGTGAGGAGGGTGTGTGAGTTTATTTGTTGCATTTGCCGTATATAAATATTATATACTTCAAAAAAAAAAAAAGGTTTTGGGGGAAAAGTAATTTTAGATGTGTGGTTTTCATGATCAGTGATTCGATTTAATGGTCTTCTTGACTTCCTGTTTATTTAATGCAAACCAAATCCCATTGAAGAAACTCGATTCAATCTATTGTTGTATGAATTGGTTTCCAGATAAAGTTGTTCTGAGGATGTCTATTCCCACAAATGATCCACTTTTGCAAGTGGAAACAACATGTGGAACCCTTCTATATGAACTTCAGGTGGTACCCGTTGACCCTTGCATTCTTTCATATTTAAAGAATATCATGATTTCCTCAATTCCATACTTACTGCTAACTGTTTGTTTCTGGACACAAAAATAAAGATTATATGGAATGAAGTTGGCGAAACTGATGTTGAAAGAGATAAGATGTTGCTAGAGCTTGAACGCGAATGCCTTGAAGTATACAGAAGGAAAGTAGATTTGGCAAACAAGTGTAGAGCTCAACTAAGACAGGCAATTGCTGATTCTGAAGCAGAGTTAGCAGCCATTTGTTCTGCTATGGGAGAGCGACCGGTCCATATTAGGCAGGTAATTAGATATCTAAGCCGGTTAACTTTGGGAGGTAATAGATACCAGATTCAAAAAGCAGTTGTCAATTGGGTTTTCTGAAAATTCAGTTTCTCATTTATAATATCTTTAAATTTCTAAACAGATTAGCTTGATTTCTTAGTTCGTTGCTATCACAATTGACACTTGTAATGGTGGCCTTAGTAGCCAGGAAATTGTCAAAAATAGCCATTTTTAACCACTCATTTCACTTTATAGCGGTTTTTCTACATATTGACTGAAATAGTCAACATTTCGCAAGTATCACTTTAGCAACTTGCGAATTTTATTTTTATGAATATGGTATTCATAAAAGTAGCAATTTTGGAAGTTGGTAAAGGGCTACTTGCTAAATGCGGACGTGGAAGTGCCACTTACGCTACTTGCTAAATTGGTACTTATGCAACTTGCTAAAGTGATATTGCCCATGTTTGCTAAAAGTGTTCATTTATGAATATTAAGTCATAAAAGGTAGATTTTGTAAGTTGCTAAAGTGTTACTTGTGAAATCTTGGCTATTTCGATCAATATATAAATTTCCCTTATGCCTTGAGTTCTATATACTTCCTCCATGCATAAAAATTGCTCCTACTGTTATTTTACTCTTGTTGTGATTGGCTTAAATATTTGTTCTTTTTCAGTCTGATCAGAACCCCGGGAGCCTAAAGGCAGAACTCCGAACCATTCTTCCAGAACTAGAAGAGATGAAGAAGCGGAAATCTGACAGAAGAAATCAGTTTCTAGAAGTCTTGGAACAAATACAAAAGTTACAAAAGGAGATTTATACAACTTCTTCAAACACAGTGTTGGATGAAACTGATCTGTCTTTAAGAAAGCTTGAAGAACTTCATACAAAGCTGCAAACACTTCAGAAAGAGAAGGTAAATGCTATTTTATCATCATAACATGTACTAGAACATTAAAACTTCAATTTCTATGTTCACGATGTTGGGGGTATTTGCTAATCATCGGTTTAATGCTTCTTCTTATCCAGAGTGACCGTCTGAAGCAAGTTTTAGACCATCTGAGTACCTTGAATTCACTTTGCTTGGTGCTAGGAATGGATTTTAAGCAGACAATTCATGAAGTCCATCCTAGCTTATCTGAGACAGAAGGAGCAAAGAGCATAAACAATGATACAATTTTAAGGCTTGCAAATGCCATACAAAGATTACGAGAAGTTAAAATACAAAGAATGCAAAGAGTAAGTGGTGGGTGAAGTTAATTATAATCATAATCATGATATTTCAGATAATTCTGACTTTATAATCTGTAAATTTATTTTAGATCCAAGATCTTGCAACATCTCTGATAGAGCTCTGGAATTTGATGGACACTCCAGTTGAAGAACAACAGATGTTTCAAAGTGTTACTTGTAATATAGCTGCTTCGGAGCAGGAGATCACAGAGGCCAATCTGCTTTCTGAGGATTTCATTAATTATGTTAGTTTTAGTGTTCATTTTTTTTATTGTTCACGATTAAGTTGTAATAAGTCTAACATGGGTGTTGCATTAAAGGTTGAGGAAGAGGTATCTCGGCTGGAAAACTTGAAGGCTAGCAGAATGAAAGAACTTGTTTTCAAGAAGAGATCAGAGTTAGAAGAGATTTGCCGGAAGACACACTTGATTCCAGAATCTGATAGATCACTAGAAATTGCCCTTGAAGCTATTGAATCCGGTATACGTTTGATCTCTTTACTGATAAATTTGATATCTTGAAGCCATTCACATATTGACTGATATTTGTTTTCGGTATTTATAAATAAAGGAGCTATTGACCCTGCTAGTCTCCTTGAACAAATCGAGATTCTAGTTGGAAAAGTTAAAGAGGAAGCATTTAGTCGGAAAGAAATACTTGAAAAGGTTGAGAAATGGATGGCTGCTTGTGAAGAGGAATGCTGGCTTGAGGAGTATAATCGGGTTGGTCTACTTTATATGCTATGCTATTCAGTCGTTTCCTATTTGCTTTGATGAACACTTAACTAAAACATCAACCTTTTTATCTAGGATGATAATCGATATAATGCTGGAAGAGGTGCTCATCTTACACTGAAGCGCGCAGAGAAAGCCCGGGCATTGGTTAATAAACTTCCAGGTAAATCCCATATTTACCCTCGATCACAATGTATTCTTGCCATGTTGCGAAAGTAACCTTATTATTCTAATTCAATTTTCATGTGTCAATTTGAAACAGGAATTGTAGAAGCTTTAGTAATGAAAACAGTAGGATGGGAGAATGAGAGAGGCGTTGAATTTACTTATGATGGGGTAATAACTTATTTCTAGTTTATTTACATTGGTTTCTGGGGGTTATTTAGGAGAATAACCTTTTGACAGTTTTTATATTTACAAAGCGTTTTTGCCTAACAAAAGAATGTCTCTTTCTAACACAAGAGTACCCCAAAATCTGTCAGAAAGTCATGCATTTAAAATAATATGACACAGTTTATTTTCCTAAATAACCCTAGTTTACGGTTTGAGTGTTTCTTACGATCTAATTCATTACATCCAGGTTCGGCTTCTTTCCATGCTTGAGGAGTATAAGATCTTAAGGCAAGAGAAAGAGGAAGAAAGAAAAAGACAAAGGGTATGGATTATTGATTGCCTTGCTTACTTTCTATTTTAGCAAGAAAATGTGTAATCATGAAGAATGTGAATGTGTACTTTTTTTTGGCATCTCAGGACCAGAAGAAACTTCAGGGACAGTTGATAGCGGAACAGGAGGCACTTTTTGGATCTAAACCGAGCCCAATGAAGCAACAAAGTGCGAAAAAAGGGGCTAGACTCTCATGTGGTGGTTCGGGTGCAACAACCAACCGAAGGCTATCATTGGGTGGTGCAGCGCATGCAACTCCTAAACCAGATCTTCATTCCATCCGAGCTACTCCTAATACTACCCGTCCTGCCAAAAAGCTCGACCGTCAGTTAAGTAACAGAGATGACGGATTTGGCACTCTTTGTAATGGTAAATTCTTTAAACTTCCCCTTTATCTGCCCTTTTGACACTAGATTTCTATAGAAATGATGAAATACTTGCCAAAAAAGGAAATCTAGTGGACTAGTAATTATAGCTAAACACTTGCTAAAAAAGGAAATATAGTTGACCATTCTTTGCCCTTATTTCTATTATGTTTTTCGTATCAGGGAGGAGAGGTTTGGTCAGTGAATTAGAGCAGCCATCACAACCAATGTTCCGCAAGCCATTCTCACCGATTTCCACCAAAGAATTGTCAAAGGCAAACACGACAGAAGTGGGCCGAAAACACGAGATGCCACAGAAAACCTTTCAAAATAACACCACACCGTTTACTACACCTTCCAAAACCGCAACATTTGTTTCAGAGGATGAAAACAGAACTCCGAAAACAAACATGATTCCAATATTACCCTCCACACCGTTCACAGCGATGCAAACGGCAATGACTCCTGCTCCTCCCCTTTCGATTCCGTACAGTGATCAGATTAAGGAGGTGATGAAGCCTGAAGAGATTGTTGAGTACTCTTTTGAAGAAAGAAGAGCTGGTTTTGTGCTTCCTAGATCAATCAATGGCTGAAATCTGATGTTTTTAGATCTCTGATAAAGAGTGAAGTTTGTTTTTCTTTTGTTTTTACTGGTTCTGATACTGTTGAAGTCAATTGCAATTGGCTGGCAATGTAACCTTCATCAGTGAGCATATATAGCTTTATCTGCTCCTAATATCACTACATTCTTTCCACTAAACAACTACTTCAGCTACTTATTTGCTGACATTATTAAATATGCCCCAATGTCTTGATGGAAGCAGTCGAGCAACTTAATTGGATGGAGATCACATCTCCATTTTCATCTGAAATTTTCCATTTCCATTCATCTACACGACACCAAATTCTAAAACACGTGTTTGGGATTGTTTATTTGACTTTTCTACAAAAACACTTCTCAACCTATTATATCTCAGAAAGTTTTCATTTAAGTGATATTTTTGTGTATTTTTGAAACCGTCAAATGTAAAATACTTGGAATTTAACAATTTGATGATTATTGTTTGATGGTCAACTTGAATGAGAAGTAGTCAATGACAGTAAAAGAAAGAAATAATCTTTTTTAATAAATAAATAATATTTTTATTTATTTATAAAAAATCAATTTATTTTACCAAAAAACTAAATATATATGTTTATTTATTTTATTAATATATGATGGAAGTATATTACCTTTTAATTAATACGAATTTATTGGATTTTCAGACGGACTTCAAATCATTTTCTTAACCAAAATTAATACTTTGAATTTTGTAATTGAAATATAAATTATTCATCAAATTACCATTATTTTAATAAAATTTCTTCTATTTATTTTTTATTTCTATTTTCATACTTTAATTTTTCTTCCTTTCTTCTTTTCCTGCAAAACCCTAATTTCATTTCCTGGAAATTTTTCTGGAAAGCAAACAAAAGTTGATTTTGTATTTTCATTTTTCTGGGTTTTTTTTCTACTGTTTAAGTTCGCTTATTCTGCTGCTATAGCGGAAATTATAATCAAAGAACTGTTGATGGTTCTTTGAATTAATTTTTTTTTTCAACCGTTGAATTTCTGTTCAAATTACTTTCTTTCAGAAATTAACGGTTTTAGAGATTTCGTGTTCATTTTGTCCGAAAGTAATTTTCAATCTGTAATGATTTTTTTTCTTTGAATGTTGTATTTAGGGTGTTTTTTTCTTTGATTAAATTCTGTGTTCTTCGTACAAAGTTCTAATTTTCCATCTATATGGTTAGAATTTAAGTAATTATCAAAAGGATTCAGTAAAAAATCAAGCGGATTTGTGAAAATGGAAGGTAAAGAGGAGAATCATGATCCCGATACGGTTTCTTTACCGCCGCCGGCGGTGGTGGTAGGCGGAGTAGAAATTTTGAGTGGGTCGGCGGTGGCGCCACCTCCACCACCGGCGGAAGGGCTGGTGGGTGCTCTGACGCATGGCTCAGTGGGTTTCAAGAAAAAAAGGGGAAGGCCAAGGAAGTACGGACCGGACGGGAAACCTACGGTGACTTTATCTCCGATGCCAATTTCGGCATCGATTCCCCTCGCCGGAGATTTTCCCGGCTGGAAGCAGAGTCAGGGGAAGCCTCTAACTTCCATCAAGAGAAAGCAGAAGTTGGAGTTTTTCACACCAGGTATTCGATATTTTGTCTGACTTAAGATTCAGTATTAAATATGTTCTCAATTTGATATAGGCTTACTTATTCTATGTACAGATTCTGATACATGAATTTGTGTTTTCCATATGTTAAATAAAAACCAGATCTTTGATGAATTTAATGTAGGACTGGGTCCCTTTTATGGTGGAAGTCTGCTGTCAGATTTGAACCACAAAAAACAGTCAGCCACACATCACCATCCTCCTATTCTTTCGCATAAAATCATTGGGTTATCGCAGATTTTGTAGTCAAATCGTTTACTATTTAAAGCCTTTCTCACTGTTTGTCAAGAGAATCTTTCTGCAGAAAAAAGACTCCTTTCACCTTTAGTAATTGAGTTATCGACCAATTTTCGTTGCAAGTAAACCATCATTCTTGCAAAAATGCAAAAAGGGACGCAAAATTCCAAAAGAATATGCAGTTTTGGACAAAAAAATCCAAGAAAAGTTGTTTCTTTTTTGCTTTTATATTTCCACATTTTGTCTGATGTTGGTCATGTTTGTAAGATATAATGTTTTGTTAACATTTCTGCAGACTTTGAACTTTCTGGTCCCACTTTGTAATAAGAAACTTCTGAAAAGCAGATGCATATTGTTGTTTGATGTAAAATGCATAAACTCTGAAAGTTCATTTCACTCACTTTGTTCTACTTCTGGTTACTTTGAGTTGTCGCTGCAAACAAACCATCATCATTCTTGCAAAAATGCAAAAAAAAAATGATAGATGGTTTTAAAGAAAAGACATTTATTATGGTCAAACAAGTCATTTGGTTGTTTTCCGTTTGTGTTTTAGTTCAAAGATTGAATTTTGATTTGAGGTAATTGTGATTTTCGGTCTTCTTTTTCCTGATCCTTGCTTTGGTCTTCATTATATTCCGTTATCTTGATGTTGTAGGTGAACAAGTGGCGCACACAGTTGGCGCCAATTTTACAGCCCATGTGATTATAGTTAGTTCCGGAGAGGTATTTCCATACTTTACACTTTTTCTTAATATTTCCTTTCTGTTCGCCTCCTGCCATGGAATGAAATTCTGACCGTTGACCACCCACATGGTTTTTGACTAAACCAAACTGTTACAAATCTGGGTTCGTGGTATTGATTAGTCATGATAAAATCTTGGATCATGTATCGTGAACACTTTCAAAATTTTCAACTCCACAAAGCCTAAGGTTACACGAAATCTGTATTGGGATAGTCCAAAATCTCACTCTCATTCAACAGGAAGATTGTTGTGTAAATAATATATGAGACATATATTAGTTATTATAGCGGTTATGGGTGGTTACAAAACGGTTACAACTACCAGTGTCATCAGCTGCAGAATGCACCAGCTGCGCTGCTACTGATGGTTATCAGCTGATGCCCATCCACTGCCACTAGAACTGATAACAAAAAGCCCAATGGCAGTAACCTCCGCCAAGGAGCTCTGCCCCTTGGAACCCTGCCAGAGGGGCCGCCCCCTTGAACCCCCTTCAAGGAAACATATTAAGCGTGCACTCTGCACCGCCAAACTTGTCTTAATGATCAATCTTAAATCTTCATCTAGCTCAAGTCTATCTCAATTACTCCGAAATGTTTGATGTCACTAAAATCACCAACCAACCATGAATCCCCTCTAATGATGACGTAAGTAGTCTTGTGGGTCAAAATGAATTACTAATATTACAAATTGCCAAGTAGGTAATTCAGACATTGAACTTTGTCAAAAGAAAAAAGGGAAATGTTGCAATTTTCATGGTACATTTCCATGTTATATTTCTAGCTTTCAAAATGGAAGGCGATGGCGTCATGGCGGTGTTATAGTCACTGGTGGTTGGGGAACTTTATGCGTACTGTATGGTCTTTGGTGTTTTATGTACGATTATTGGTCATCTTTAGAACACTAATTAAACTTTTTCTGATGTTTTTAGGATGTTAATATGAAGATTATATCCTTCGCTCAGCAAGGGGCAAGAGCTATCTGCATTCTTGCTGCAAACGGTGCAATTTCTAATGTTACACTTGGTCAACCTAATTCTTCTGGAGGTACTTTAACATATGAGGTACCTCCCTTTTCACCATTTTTTGTCTTAATATCTCATCTTCATGAYCCAAGCATGTAGCTTTTTGACAATTATTGGTCTGTTTTATGCTGCAAATCTGCAACTTTTTTATGGAACTGTGGGTGTTCGGGCCAGATTAATCCCACAGGGTCCTGAAGTTAAAAGTCAGATAAACCTCTACTGAAGATGCAATTGTACTTGGACTAATATAAGATATTACCAGTTAAGCTACTTTGAAGGGTTAAATCTGCAACTTTTGGGGATGTAATTATAACCGAGAGATTGTTGCAGGGTCGCTTTGATATTCTTTCTTTGTCTGGAGCATTTACGCCGAATGAGAATGGTGGAGCAAAAGGTTGCTCCGGTGGGATGAGTGTTTCTTTGGCCGGCCCTGATGGACGTGTTTTGGGTGGAGGACTTGCCGGTATGCTTGTAGCTGCTGGTCCTGTTCAGGTTAGACATTTTACATTTTTACACATAAAATTGAATCTAGGGCCTGTTTCATGACACAAATTGGGTAAGCGCTAACTGAAAATGGTCGTTCACGAAGTATTTTGTTGTAAATGCTTAGCATATCCAGGAATTTTGGTAATGGGGATCGTAATTCAAGTTTATAAATTTTTGAGGTAAAAGTAGATATATAGAGGAGATTACAAACATGTAAATATTACATCTGCAAGGACTCTAATGATCAGAAAGGTAAAAGAAATAATGCGTTGTGGTAATGATTGAGAAAATATCGCATGCTATGATGATTTGTAACTTATGCATTCATGGTTGTATGTTCCATCTAAGCTTGTATTTCTAATTCTTAGGTGATACTTGGAAGCTTTCTTCCCAGCCACCAACAGGAGCACCAGAAACCACCCAAGAAATCAAGATTGGAACCTGTACAAGCCATCTTGCCGCCGCCTATCGCCGCCACTTCTGTGTTCAAACAAGCAACCGAGAGAAGGTATGGTGATGAACCGAATATAAGCTTTACCCTCCCAAACCCCACACATATAGCACGGAGTTTAGACCCTGAAAACAACGGATCTTTGCGTGCATCTGAACCTAAGGTGCTCAACGCGTCACAGTTCGAGGTTTCTTGCTGATCAAATCAGTGGTGTATTAGCTGACTTAGGAAATCATTAGACTTATTTATTGTTGTTAGAAGACATCAAATCTTTTGGTATTGTTTTAAATCTTAACCTTAGGTGTTGAAGAGTTGGCATAAATTTAATGGAAAATGGATGTTAAATTGAGGATTTGATTCTTCTTTAAATGGTTTGTATGCTATGGATCCTGTTTCTTGAAATTTTATACCATTGAAGATTTGCTTTTGGTTTGATTGTGTTTCTACAATTCTATTTTGATTAATAATTTAGGTTTTCATTTCATTTTGTATTCGATGTATTTATATTTAACAAAACTATACTGGTCGTTAGCTGAAAAGCTATTAGAAAAAGGAAATTGGACAATAAGTTGATATTCACAGCTCTAATATCTGATAAAGTCAACACAACCAAATGCTATCAGATCTTTCTTTTGGATGAGTCATTTTTTGTTTTTCCGGTGTTTGGTATGATTAATACCGGATATAACATGACTAGACAAGTTGTCATTCGCTGCTTGATGAATTTGTACATCTTGTAATAGTTATAGATGTCACGAATCAAGTAATATTTAAATAATTTAATTTATATACATTTTTTTTATAATTTTCATATACATAATTATATAATAGTACCAAATTACAATAAAGAATTTGATATAAGTGATGTTAGTTTGAAAAAGCCCGGTTCGTTTAAAGAAAAAAATTATGTTTTATTCCGTTTGGAAGATCCTTATAAAAAACAGTATAAATTGGGCGGAGGGTCGGTGGAGGTTGTGGCAACGATAATCATTGTGAGAGTAGAGGCGATGAGTGACTGGTGGACGACGATGACTTTGGAGGATATGAAGATGGTAGACGATGGTGGTGGCGGCGGTTGACAATGGTGTAGGAGGTGGTTGTGGTTGATGTGTTGGAGGTGGCCAACTGTGGCTGCGGATGCGGATGGTCGGTGGTGGTGGCAACAATGATAGAAAGTGGCCATTAAAACAAATATTATATATAGAGTTATATCAAATGAGTGTAAATTAGTAATTTTCTAGTTTATTTCTCAGTTTTGTCTCATATTATTTCACCTATTTTGGAGGAGTAAAAAAAGCGATTTTTGTCGCATTTTATACCACCCGGTCTCAATCCTTGTTCATATCCTATGTCACGCCAAACGTGGACCAGTGGGTTTTTGTTCAGTCTCATGTTGGGGTAATTAATTTTGTTCTATCTCATATATCAAACGCATCATTAAAACCATTACAGTGGTTTCGGCCAAAGTTTTGTTTCTTCACACCTTTCCTTCCTCCAAACTCGTATTTCGAATCCTTAAAACTCATTGCTTGCTTTGTATTACCTTCTCGTCTTCTGCTTAACCTTCTCTTCTTGCTTTTCAGCTTGCGCTTCTTGTTCTCTCTTGCCTTTCTTCTCCAAAATCTCTCTCTTTTCTACAGAAAGCAAGTCATTGACATCTATCTATTGATCTTGATTGATATCGACCGAAAATTGGTGAATCCATTCTATATCTTTAGGAAAATTGATATCCAAGTTTATCAAGCATGACGTCCTTGTTGTAAATGGAATTTTTTTGGGTGTTCGGTTAATCTAACATCCTCGTCCTCTTCTGACTCCGATTTTGGTTCAAATTCCGAAGCCTCCATATCAAGATTTTCAATTCAGCGTCTGTTTCTGTCCTGTCCAAAAAATTTGGTCTAAGACTTTTTACAGTCATCCAGTAATCTATTAAAAAGTTAGGAAAACAATAATTAAGCTCAAGTCATTCACTAACTTTTACTTAAAACGAGAAATTTGCCAAGACCGGTGTATGTAGGGCTGCACATGGATTGGCTTGGCCGGCTTGAAGGCATTTAAACAATCCAACCCAATGTTTGCGGTTTAAAAAATTTCAATCCAACTCAACCCAATTAAAACTACAACCAAATCTAACCTAAAACATGTGGGTTGGGTTGGTTGGTTTGATCGGGTTGAAACTTTGGCATATCATTTTACAATCTAGTTAATCGTTTGTGTTTAAAAGAAGTAAAAAAAATAAGAACACGCAAAAAAGGCTAACAAACTCAAAAAAGGTTGAAGGCTCATGCAAATAAGAAAATATACATTTGAAATTGTAATATAATTTTGAATATAGCTAACTACGGTTTGGTCTAATGTCTACTGTGCATATATTAACCAATAATTTAACGATCATATTGAATTCATAGTATAGAAAGACATCAGATTCATCGAGTTAGGTTGGGTTCAAATTACCCTAACCCATTTCCAAGCCAATAGATACGGTTTGACCTAATTTTGCATCAACTATGTGTCAGGTTATCTCAGGTTGGATTGGCCAGATTGGTCGGGTTGGTCAATATTTTGAGCACCTCTAAGCGTATGAATGAGAAATGAATTGATCAGACATCTTTATATCAAAATAATATCCCTACATAGGTAGAGATGCACAATGCCCGAGTCTTTTTGCCTTCGAACCCACATATTCCAAGCCCGTTTTCAATAAAACAAACAAAGCCTCGATTTTTCGGGCTTAGGCTTTTCTGTGCTTGAATGGTGCCTTATCGCCGGTTATGGGAACACTCCTGGCAAGCACCCCTGTTGGTAGTCTCACATTTAATATATAAACGGTTACAATTCTTTAAGTTTAAAATGAAACTATTTTGCCAAGAGTCATTACAGAAAATCTGAGATTACCCTGATCCCTCGTGTTGATTTTCACAATACCTAGCAAATAAAGGTCGAAATACAACTTGCTTTTACGTGATTTCACGGTTTTATCAAAGGTTTTACCTACTATTTATGTGATAAACTCGAATACCTCCAACAAAATTGAAAAATCTCAACGTCAATTGCATTGCTTTTTCGTTATAACTATGGGCCCAAGCCCAATTAAGGGGAAATTGTCGTATCTGTTGATGTTCGGCCCAAATAGCTAACAAATACTAGGCTCACGTGCTTGATTTGCAATTTCCATTATTAGATTATTCATTACGCATATATTTTTATAAAAACATTTAATATATGCATATATAATAAATAGAAACTATATTTCTTATTAAATTTAATCAAAATACGGGATGTTTAATTAGAGGTATTAAGTAGTAATCAATGAGAATAAAAATAAAAAAAAAACTGTTTGATTTTTTTTAACTGTTTGATTTTTTTATAATATAATGAGTTCATTTCTTTAAAAACTCAAAATTTCATTTATGATTAAATTGAGAAGAATTCTCAACCATTCTTATTTTCATTTCTTTAATAGACCCTTTGATGTGAAAAAACCGGACAAAGTAGCATAATAATTTTTTTAACTATTATCAAAATTAAAAAATAGCAATAATAATAATATAGTAATATTAAATAAAACCGTGGGCAAGGATTAAAAACCATCTACCACAAAATCAACGGGGAACTCGTTTCAAAAACCAATGGCAGTTTTGAAAAAGTGACTTTTCTTTTCTTTTCTTTTTTTTGTAGAAAAATTTATAAAATATATTTTAGATTTTTATTACAATATTTTGAAATATATGATTTATTTAAAATGTATTTTGGATGATTAATATTAATATTATTATTATTTAATTATTAAGGTTGGTAATTGTGCAGTTTGTTTTTCTTAGATTTATATGGGTTATTTGATAGTTGTTGAATGGTTTAATGTAAAATAATTAAGTGGTCAAAATGATTAAGAGCATCTCATGATATAGTGTAAAATGAAATATAATTGTTTAGTAATTGTTTACGATAAAATTAGGATGTTGAATGATTAAGGGAGACCCATAATACAAAAGTATTCAGAGGATTTTAGAAGCATTAAGAGGCAGATTTTTTTTTGTCAAACAAGATTCATTTTTAACGATTTAGAGACAACCTATTAATGGATCTATTAAGAGGTAAACAAACAACACCTCAATAGATTTTTCAAAAATCCGTTGAGAATCAAAATTTAAATTTTTTAAAAGAATTGCAGTCAATAACAAATTTCTCATTTGGAGATTACTTCATTAATTATATATTAAAATATTCAATTCGATTAATAAAATATTATTTATATCTAAAAAAATATTTTATATCAAAAAAATTATTAATAAAATATAATAATAAAAAAGTTCATTTATCATTCACAATATTATTTTTGAAAAGTTATTTACATTATTTCTTCTGCTTTTTCTATTTTGGAAAAAAAATATTAGTAAAAAAATATGTGGAGAGATATTATTTATTTTCTTATTAAAATATATTTATAATTTCCTTTTCGTTTATATTAAATACCGAAGAATATTCTTCGACCACCAGGGATGCTACGATTTGAAAAAGCAACTGCAGTAGGCCCACCGAAATCAAACGTGTTGCCCAAGAGGCTTGATCTGGTCCGTCTATCAGTGCCCACTGTCTTACCAATCAATGGTCCAGATTAAACCAAGTTCCCCTACAAATACGTGAAACTTCCAAGCATGGTTAACACTTGGAAAAACCTCTCCTCTCTGCTCTCTATATTCTGTCAAAAGGACAAACTGCAAGAAACTCCAACAGCCGGACTTCGTTAACGGAAATGGCCACGATCAAGGCTGTTAAAGCTCGTCAGATCTTCGATAGCCGTGGTAATCCGACGGTTGAAGTAAGTATTATACTTCCATTTTTACGATTTTTGCTTGTATTTGCTACTTAGATTCGGTTGTATGATGTAAATGTGTCATGAAGCATCATTCTTGGATATGAGAAACTAGACATTTGTGCTTTTATGATTATTTTACTGGAAAGTGTTTTGATCTTGCTGGTGTTTGATATCAATACTGATTGAAGTGAAATAATGGTTTCAGGTTGATGTTACACTTTCTGATGGAACCTTGGCCAGAGCTGCAGTACCTAGCGGTGCTTCAACAGGTTTGATATTCCGTTCGTGATTTATGTTTCAATAATTTTGAGTAAAGTGTTGTCTTAAAGTTTCATCCGTTAAATGAAATGGCTTCCGAGCTGCAAATCTTAAAATGTTTTCTGTCATTTTTGAATCTCAAAAAGTATTAGGTTGATTTTGCCAAATGAATAGAGGACTTCTCTTCGGACGATGAGTATTTTTTGTTGGTGTTGCTTGTGACACACAGTCTTAGTAGATTGCATGTACAACCGAGCGGCTTTTCCCAATGGAATCGGTAGTTACACATTCAAGTATCTGTATCGGTGTGTGACAGTTTTGAGTTGGCCATTTCATAAGAAAGAAACGTAGACAGCAGATGCATATGAATACGTGCTTTTGTTTGAATCCTCATTGGTTAATTTTTTGGAGAAATTGATTTACAGGTATATATGAAGCTCTAGAGTTGAGAGATGGAGGTTCCAGCTATCTTGGTAAAGGTGTCTCCAAGGTGTGTAATACTCTGGACTTTCCTCTCTTTTTGTTTGTCTCGAATTGGTGATCGTCTTGTACACATTTAACATCATGATTGAATATCCACCGAGACTAGAACACGTTTGCTTTGGTGGTTATGTATTTCGAACTTTAGATGCAAATTTGCTTTGAACTGCATATCCAATTGAACCAAATTAATATCTCTGTTGGTTGATGCAATTATTAGTAAGTATCGCCTCTAATTTATTGAGTTTCAAAGATGCCAACTATTTACTTCAAAATTAATAAGAATATTCTGTATGCTAAGAAAACTGTTGACTACTTTAGGATGTAATGAACTCGACATATAAAAATAAAAGTTCTATTTGTGCAACACCACCTGCTCATCAATAGTCTTACTTAGTAGGCAAATCTCCATTGATTCACCCTTTTCACAGACTGGCCCTGCAGAACATCTGGCAAAAACTTCTGTCTAAAACGTTTATGGGTTCTCGAATTTGGCAGATACTAATTTTGAATTTTGAAAACCTTATGGAGGTTTTTTGAACTTTATAATTGGTAGCAAATAAACTGACTTTTTCAACTGAATGTGAAGGCTGTGGATAATGTTAACTCAATTATTGGACCAGCCCTGATTGGCAAGGTATGTCCTCTGCACTCTTTTACACTTTCTTGTCATTTGTCTATCAAACTATAAGTTCGATATTACTTGTGGATTTGATTGTTCTCTGAGGACTTGTATTTCGTAAAGCTTTTGTAGATGTTGTCTAATTCTCTGTCATTTACTTGCAGAATCCCACAGAGCAGACCAAAATTGACAACTTCATGGTTCAAGAGCTTGATGGGACTGTAAATGAGTGGGGTTGGTGCAAACAAAAGGTATAAATGTTCAGCTATATCTAGTAATTAATCAGGTAGAGTTGCATTTCATTGCTTTTTGACCGGATCGTGTATAAAAAACACTCATCTTCCTGTTGGCCAGCTTGGTGCAAATGCTATCTTGGCGGTGTCACTCGCTGTATGTAAAGCCGGGGCATATGTGAAGAAAATTCCTCTATATACGGTATTCCAAATTTCTTCTTCGGAGACAGTTTCCAACTGTTTCAGCAATTGAATAATACTTTCGCGTGCTCCCTGTGTTGGTATCTAAATTTGTTATCTCTTCAATTTCAGCATATTGCAAACCTTGCTGGAAACAAGACATTGGTGCTGCCGGTGCCAGCATTCAATGTGATCAATGGAGGTTCACATGCAGGCAACAAACTTGCCATGCAAGAATTTATGATTCTCCCTGTTGGAGCTTCTTCTTTCAAGGAAGCGATGAAGATGGGTGTTGAAGTATATCATAACTTGAAGGTATTAACCTTCCCTGCCGTTTTCATATCTTGCAATCATGCAATGACGTGTCGTATAATTGTACTTACACTTTTCTCTGTTGCAGTCGGTAATTAAAAAGAAATATGGTCAAGATGCCACAAACGTTGGTGATGAAGGTGGCTTTGCTCCTAACATCCAGGTCAGCGAATTGCCGAATTCTTCAAGATCATTATGAGCAGTCCAAATGTTATAATACATACCTTATCTGTTATTTATTTGAATCGTTGTATTATACAGGAAAATAAAGAAGGTCTCGAGCTCTTAAAGACTGCAATAGCAAAAGCTGGATACACGGGGAAGGTGGTTTTTTAATCACCTCTTAAAAGATAAAGCTTTCTGAATGTTAACTATTTTGAAGTCTCTTAACGGTTTCATCGCAGGTTGTTATTGGAATGGATGTGGCTGCATCTGAATTCTATGATAACAAAGACAAAACCTATGATTTGAATTTCAAGGAAGAGGTATCGAAGAGAAAAGTTGAATTCTTTGCATGTTGGAAGAAATAAGAAGGAAATTAAACAAAAATAACTTTTTATGTTGCAGAACAATGATGGGTCAGAGAAGATATCAGGTGACAGTTTGAAGAATGTTTACAAGTCATTTGTTAGTGACTACCCAATTGTATCCATAGAGGACCCTTTCGATCAGGATGATTGGGAGCATTATGCAAAGATGACAGCAGAAATTGGTGAGCAGGTGCAAATTGTTGGTGATGATCTCCTTGTTACAAATCCTAAGGTATAGTAAAAGCTTTTTTTAACCTCGACAATGTAGAGTAAATACCGGTTATACGGTTCTCAGTTGCACACTCTATTTGATTCAGCGTGTTGAGAAAGCAATCAAGGAGAAGACTTGCAATGCCCTTCTTCTGAAGGTATGTTTACTTACTGTCCTTTTGTTGTTGGGCTATTGGAATAAAAAATAGTTCAAAATTTGTTTCCCATTTATATTTTTGACCAAGTTCAGATGTGTATGCTTTCAGGTGAACCAAATCGGGTCTGTTACAGAAAGCATCGAAGCTGTTAAGATGTCAAAACGTGCTGGGTGGGGAGTGATGGCTAGCCACAGAAGGTGTAGTATCGTTTTAGATGGACGAATTCCTACACTTACATAAAACAGTATATTTTATATATATATGGTGATGATGGCTTGTGATTTTGCAGTGGTGAAACTGAGGACACCTTCATTGCCGATCTTTCTGTTGGATTGGCGACGGTAAGAGTTTTGAATTTCTATTTGAAGTTGCAAGTGGAGTAGGAAAGCAGCTGTTGATGTTTTGGTTTTGAGTTTGTAAAACAGGGTCAGATAAAGACCGGAGCTCCTTGTCGATCAGAACGGCTTGCGAAGTACAACCAGGTAATTACGAAAAGGCATACATCTTCATGTCTCTACCAATACCAAATTTCTAAATTTTGTCTGAAAACTGGTGCAGCTTCTTAGGATTGAAGAAGAATTGGGATCAGCAGCAATTTATGCAGGAGCCAACTTCCGTGCACCAGTTGAGCCTTATTAGATTGAGGATTCCTCCAGCAATAATGATGTCATTTATAAGCATATTTAAGTTTGTGTATGAGAAGCAGGCAAGTAAGGAGATTTTGGGAAGATGATGCTATTTTGGATCATGTATGCTGCTGCTATGTGTTTTAATTTTGTCATTTCGTTTCTTACGATATGGAAAGATGAACAATAACTTTTTAACTCTCCATCTATTTCTCATCTATGATGGATATGGATCTTCTTAGGAAAATTAATCGCCTGATAAAACTAGGACCCCAAATCAAACTTAAAAAAGGTTAATCTTGCAATGTGGTTTGGTCTCAAATTCTAAATTTTAATTTTAGTTTCAAACTGAATCATTTATGATTATATTTTTTACAAAATATGGAAAGAAAAACACATATTATCTTGATTGGATTAAAAGAGATCGATGACTCCTAAAGGTGTTTTTATGAAAAGGAATTATCATCAAAACCCAACCTAAAATGGCAACAATTGATATAGATTGGGAAGCTAACTTTGTAAAATGCTTTAACTAAAAGAAATAGTCGACAAAAATGATTAAATACACATAATGCTAAGAAAGTCGATTAGAAAACCCTAGCTAAGCAAGTTGACAACTGACAAATTGACATTTAGACATCCATTTGACTAGAAAGTTTGCAAGGATGATTCCATGTGTATCTTTTTTATGTTAAAATCTTACGTTTGTGCGGAGAAAATTAGTAGTAGCAACTTACAAGGTACATTTGGAGCATTTCCAACAAATTCCCCTAAATTTCTGCAAAATAAAAAACCAAAAGTCAAAGTCTTCAAAAAAAATTTATATTTATTTTCAAAAGATTCTCAATTTTGAAGAATCCAAAATTTTTTATTCTTCTACTAAAATATTATTTCTCTATCTACATATTTGTTTTCGAAGTTTCCTTTTTTGTCACTTGATAATCATTTTCAAGGGTTCTCCATATTTAGAGAAAAAACCTTCTTCCTCGTACTTTTTCTATTTTGAAAATAGTTTTAAATAAGTTAAAACAAAACATTGACTCAAAATTCTCTTTTTTGCTGTTTAGGAGAAGCTGTTGGACTTGTGAACCCCACATTTCAGCGACCTACACCAGTCTTAATTGAGACCAATAAACAACCAGTTTAGATATAAAGACCAAGGAATCAGAACCTACACCAGACCCACAACCAATAACTAGTTTCCAAGAGTACAAAATGAAGACAAGAAAAACATGACATAATGCAATTACAAACGAAAACAACACGAAATGGGTTTTAAACTGGCACCACACCTGCTCCTTCACTTCCTCCAAACCAAAATTGCAAAAAGGAAATGTGTAATTAATACACGCTATAACCAAAACAAAATCTCATCATCTCAAGATTTCTCTTCAACCATGTCATTGACATGGATGGACAAAATTTTTGGGCATACTCCCACAACTCCTTTCTGCAACTAATTCACATCTATCAGTTCAACATCGAAAACCAGCCATGAGTTTGGCGGTATTTGCGAACCAGCACCTTTAGCACCATACCTGAACCAACAACATAAAAACGAGAATTAACGAATACAGAAGTGCTTTTCAAAGAAACTCGGCAGAAGGATCACATAAAGATTAAAACCAACCCAACCCAACCCAACCCAGAGGTGCGGTCTGAGAGGGGTAAGATGTACGTAGACCTAATCTCTGCTCAGAAGAGTAGAGCGACTGTTTCCGTGAAGAACTCACGCTTGTAATATTAACAAATAAAAGCAGTTACACGAGAAACATAAGCAAGAAAAGAAAATACCCCATGGCCGGAGGGATTGTCAGTCTTCTTTTATCCCCAACACGCATGCCTGAAATGAACAAGATTCACACATAATTAATCAACTATAAAGTGATGGAGCACTACAAATCAGGGAAAATCTCTCAAAAGACTACCTTTAACACCGACATCCCATCCTGCAATCACTTGCCCGACACCTGGGAAAATGAAAAAAACAGAGTTCAGCACATAAAATCATGTTACATTAAAAACATCCAGCTTATTAGAATGATACCTAGGCGAAACTTGAACGGTGCCTTCCCAATATTAGAGTCAAATATTTTCTCATTCTTCTTCAGCTTGCCAATGTAACGCACGCTAACCTAATGAGAACGAAAAAAGTTCCTTGTTAGTTAAAAAATACTGAAAACCCTAAAAAATAAATGACAAAAGCTTTGCGCTCATGTTGATTATTACATTAAGTCAATTCATAACTTAGCTACACAAATGACATTTACAATGTGCATATAAGATATGTTTATCGAAACTCACCTTCTTCCCAGGATCGGCTCGTTTTCCAGCTGGTTTACCCATTTGAATCTCTTCGATTACCAATCCATTAGGAAAGGTTCTAACTTGAGATGGTTTGGCTTCACCAGGTGTATTCTCCTGCTGTTTGCTCTTCTTGTCCTTCTTTGCATTCTTATTCTTGGAGTCGGTATTTACCTCAGATGCAACCCTTGAGTATATTCAACAAAGAATTAGTGAACTTTAACATTTATTGCACAATCCTAAATGTGTAAGCAACAGTTAAGTTTTATTTCTATTTGTTTTATGTGTTTATAAAGTACATTGACTTCCAACTGAATGCATTGATGGTGACTGACTACAGGCTGGTATGGTCACTTTTTGATATTTTCTTATCTCTAAGTGATGAAGAGTTAAAGAAAATACATTCTTTTGAGTCTTTCGGTCTTGATTGGTTTCATACTTGATCCTTTCTTATCTCTGAGTGACAAAAAGATATATAAAATACTTACTTTGGAGTCTTTTGTTCCTGATTCGTTTCTTCCTCATTCTGAACTACATTGTTGCTATCGTTACCACCTTTCTGCACATCTTTTACTTTCTTGTTCTTCTTCTTCTTTGCTTTCTTGACATCCACTTCTGGTGTTGAAGCTTCTACATTTGCTGGCTGGCTGATAAATGATAATCCAAAGGCAGCATAATGTTACTAAACAACAAAAACAGCAAAAAACTAATATACTTTCTTGAGGATACCATACTGCCTCCAGATAACTTCTGGAATAACATTGAAAGTCATACCTCGCCAGATCATCACCCATAACAGAGTCCTCTCTCTTTCGTTTTGCTGTATGTTCAGAATCATTCATCCCTTTTTTCCTCTTGGCTTGCCCATTTTCACCCTTGCCAGTTGATACTTCTGAATTTTGTTTGTCATTTGGAACACTAGCTTTGTCCTTAGCAGAAGAAGATATTGGAAAGCCATCCTCATCTTCACTCTCCAATACTGGAACACTACTAGAACTTTTTGGAACAATTTGTTTCTGAGAACTATCATCATTATTAGAGGTTCGTTTATTCTTCTTCTTTGATTGTTCAGGAACGGCATTCTTGTTGGCAGGTGTCTCATCATCAACAATCTCCTCAATTCTCACTGATAGAAAGTAAATTTAACTTAATACTTGCAAAATTCTTTGAAATCTTACACTCTAATATAACTAAAATGTAATAGTGAAACAAGAATAAATACAACAATAACATGCAGAGCACGGTCTACATGTTTCTTAGATACCCACTCGTTAGTAACTTGCACTTGACTTTCTCATTCAAAAAAATTTATCCGCAACAAGAAATGGAAATAGTCCTGGCCAAATTCATCAACCGCAATTTTCATGATTTCCTAATAGTTATCCATAACTGAGGGCAAGATATTGCAGAGATAAAAGTGGCAAAAGAACATGAAAGAAACAAGTAAACTGAAAAGATAAAGTGAGAGATAAGTGGACATAAAATTGCATGCTTGACCAATGGTTCAGCCGCCTCTGTTGAGAAAATAGGACGATAAATACCATGTAAATTATGAAAACATACAAGGATCTGTCTGTAACTGCAACTGATATAAAATACGCAACCAAAGAGATATACCTCCACTGTTAGGTACAGTCGAGGGATCAAACATATCCATTTCGTTATCAGTGAGGTCATCTTCATCACCTTCATCATCAAAGGCAAAGTCACTATCATCTCCAGAGTCAAGCTCTTCCTCTAAGATACCTACCTCATCAGAATCACTTCAAAATCTTGTTAAAGAAAAGCCATCATTACACAAAGAGATACTGGTTGCTTTTATATAAATCCAATGAGTTCTCTAAATGAATAATCCCATCCAATAATAAATGGGATGAGAAACCTAATAAGAAACAGACCATGGTGCACAAAGCTCCCTTTCTTTAAGAGATCATATGATGGACTGGACTTAACAGAAATGGTATGACAAATCCCAACATCAAGTGTACGGCTTGAACTGTATCAAGTCCACACCTGTGTGGCAATACCTTGGAGCCAAAGTTTGAAATCCTTTACATCCCTCTTTCGACTTTAGATAAAAAGAATAACAAATCCCATCAGCTATACGACTGATTTGATCCCTTGACTGTTGGGTCACCAGGTGTCAGATTTGTATCGTGCAACGTTTCAAAAAATCATGTTACAAATGGATTAAAATTTAAAAGGATACGATTCGTAGTCATCTCCATCAGAATCTGGCTTTTCTCCGTAAAAGAACCCAGACAGATGAATGCTGTGAGGACCTTCCACTGAGAATGTTACCTCATCATATTCCTCAAACTCAATATTCAGCGAGCAAGTCTCCATTTTTCTTGGCAGTAGTGAGCATAAGTATATTGGTTTCTTATCACCAACATTACACACAACAACAGCCTTCTCTTTTGATGAACCACTACCTAATGTTGCCTATATCAGCATAAAAGACAAGTTGTCACCTTCCATTGTCTTGCATATACCGATACATTAAAAGAAAACTAAAACCAACCAGACTTAGCGTAGTACTAAAGCAATAATTCAAGTATGAGCTTAAAAGATATGCAATTACGAATTCGACCAACACAACGAACACATAATGCTACATCTTACCAAAGCAAACAAAACCAAATGGTCCTGGTATATCTCACTCGAAAGCAGTGACTAAGAGAGGTATGTACGTAAATTTGTCCTCTATCTCAAAGAATAGAGTGTTTCCATGAAGACCCCCAGCTTGAGCAAAAGGGCGAGGAAAAAGAACCAAGACTAGTAAATAGACATACTGCTACACCTTGTTTTGCTATATGCACATTCAAATTGAAGGGGAAAAAAAAAGGAGATCCAGGTACATGGGAAAACTAGCCATGCAACAGTACTATCTTGGACGCAGCATTCAATTCATACCAGAAAGATCCGAGGTTTATCATAATCATGAATTCATGATGATTCTTGTAAATCTCCAACTTGTACATTCACATTTATAAACTAACTCAAGATAAAAACAAACAACATCTAGAGAAGATCCAAGCTGGCAAATAACATTAATAAGGACTTATAAGAAGACTAATATCAGATGCCATTTAACAACATCAATAATTACCAAGATCAAGTGTCAGAGAACCCAATTATTTTTATCATAACTACACTTTAACAGAAAAAGCTATAACTTTGGTTTCAGCTTCAAATTTTGGATTTGTTCTAAAAGTCTAAAGCTGAAATTGTGCATCCAAAACCTATAGCTCAGACTGCAACTATAGAACAACAACGCTAGGTCCATTTCAAAACTAGGGTTTAATTCATGAGATAACATAACCATCACTTTGCTTCAGCTTAACAAAATCCAGCTATCGTAAGTACATAATACAGCGTACAGAATTTGTGCATTCATAACCTATAACTCAGATTGGAACAGTAGACCAACAAAACCAGGTTCATGTCAAAACTCGAATTTAGTTCATGACATAACAGAACCATCATTCAAACTTGCATCAACTTAACAAAAATACAACCATCATAAGTACACAAATCGGCATACAAAACGTTTTCACAATTGGAGTGTTCGTATCAGTTAAAGAACAATCTTATGCATATAAAAGCGCTTAAAATTCTTCGAGCGTCAAAAACAAACCTGCGAAAGATGCAGCCTTCCTCTTTCATCATCGTACTGATGAAGGTATGGTTTACCGGGCTTTATCTCAATTCCTGGACGTTAAACAACACATGAACAACGTTAACAAAACAATCCACCGAATATCTGAATGAAATATAATAGCAACAAATTTGAAACTTCTGATGATCAAAACTAACCCCAAAAAGCCATTATTCAGGTCGCAAAAACGAGATTGAAAATTGGTCTCGGCTTAAACCCTAAAGGAGAGTGGTAATGAACTACGGTCACTTGGCGATTCAGGTAAACTAAACCCTCCGTTTTCGCATTTGGGCTAACCAACACTTATTAAGGCCCACAATTGATAAATCTCAAATTAGTTTTTAAAAAAAGAGCCCATGGAAGACTGATTCCCATAGTCCACACAGATGGGCCAAATAAGGGGAACCCGACTAATCTGGTCAACTCAATCCAAAAAAACTCAATCCGAGGTAGTGATAGCCAAACCGGTCAGGCCTGGCCCAGGACCAGCGGAGGACCGGGACCGGCCAAAGACCAGCCCGGCTTGGGACCGGTAAGGACTGGTTATAGGACCGAAATCTGGGACCGGTTATGGATTTGGGGTGTTTCGTGGGACCGGAACCGACCGGTTATGGACCGGCCCAGTCCGATTTTTAAAAAATGTAACTGTTTTTTTTAAATGTAGCCGTTTTTTGCCCTTTTTTTGTATTTTTTGCTTTCTAAACACTATATATAAGTGTCTTGGTTGAGGGATTTACATATCAAGTTCTTGATTCGCAAAAAACGCAAAAAAAAAACGTTCACAATTATCAGTTTTTCGCTATATTTTGTAAGACAATGTAATATATATATATTAAAGAAGAAACCATGAGTGTTTGAGGTGGCCTCTCTTAAAGCCTAGAACCTTATTTTTCTTTTTTCTCCTTCATTCTCTCAATATTCACTATTATATTTTTTTTTGTCAATTTATGTTTTTTAGTTAAATGTTTGCATTCAACTCCAAACCATTCATCTCCTTCTATATTAAGTCTAATGGCATAACTCCAAATCATTCATTTTTTCTCATTAATCATATATATATATAAACAACAACTATTTATTCATCTTCATCTCTCACACCCTCTCAAATTCTATATCTATCTTATACATCTCTAAATTTATTTATTTTCTCTTTGGTTTTTCTTTTATTTTACTATTGATAATCTTCATAGTTTTTTTTTGTTTTTTCACTTCTCCCATAATTTTATGTATGTTTGTATCGTTATTTAGATTGCATTATAGTTTTTATACATTATGTCATGAAGATTTGAAGAAGTCTTCAAGTTCAATATTTGATTTTTTTGGTTGCAATATAAGGTAATAATTTTATATTGATTTGTTTCACGATTTTGATTGCATTATAATTTTATTTATGTTTTTATCGTGATTTTTGTTTGCATTATAACTCTATGTATTAGGTGAAGATTTAAAATGTTCATGTTCACTATGTAATTTTTACTTATGTTGAACGTTTTTTGGTTTGCATGTTTTCGAGTTCTTTAACGTTTATATATCAAGTCTTGAAAATTTGAAGTTTTCAAGTTTGGGTTGTGGGAATTTTTTATTATAATCTAAGGTAAAGATTTTATGCAAGTTTGTTTTGTAATTTAGAGTGTATTAGAATGTTATGTATGTTTGTATCATGATTTTGATTGGATTATATTTTTAAGCATGTTCTTATCGTAAGTTTAGTCGTATTATAATTTTATGTATGTTCATGTTGTGATTTTGATTGCATTATAATTTTATCTATTGGGTTATAAATATTTGAAATCTTTAAGTTTAGTGTGTGATTTTTTACATATCGTATGGTTGGTCCATTCACTATTGTGTTTTTTAAAGTCAATGTGTGTGTTGAGGATGAAAAATGGTACATGTACATCATCTTTTGAAGGAGACATATCGTTATGTGGAGTATTTTTTATTCTTAAGTTTGTGTCAGATTCCTTAATATTCTTGTCGTTATTATTACTCATTTTATTTAGTTCTACAACTTTATTACTAAACAAATCTCTCTCTCAGTATATATATATATATATTAAAATTTCACTAACTATATTTTATTTAACTTTTTCGAATTATTTGAATACGATTTGTTGATGATTCTATTAACAATTAATATATATTTATATAGACAATCCTCATATCATTAATCAAAGTACTCATACTACCGCGCAATGCGTGATTCTCATACTAGTTTTAATTACAATAAAACGCATTTTTAAAGTGTATTTGAGTGACCCAATTACAAATTTTATAATGTATTAAAAATATATATCATTAAAAAATAAAAATAAAAAAAATATTTTTTAATAACCGGTTACAATAAAGCTTGTCGGGCTCAACTTTTTCGAGCGGGACAGGTTATGGCCAGTTATGAGAAATCTTAGGACTGGTTGGGCCCGACCCGGGACTGGTTTTTGGCCTTTACTAATCGAGGTAATCTGATACATAGTTGATACAAGATTAGGTCAAACCGCATCTATTAGGTTGGAATTGAGTTAAGGTGGTTTGCACCCAACCCAACCCGATGCCTTTATATACTTAGATTTAATATGATTCTTAAGTCCTTGACGAACATATGTACATTAGATATTAGGCTAATACGTAATTAGCTATATGGAAAGTTACATTACAATTTCATCTGTAATTTTACTTTCTTATTTGCGTTAACCTTTAACTTTCTTTTTGAGTTTGTTAGCATTTTGCGTGTGTAACCATTTTGATTTTACTTCGTTTACACATAAACATGTAGCTAGACTATAAAATGATCTATCAAAGTTTCAACCGGACCAACTCAACTCAACTCGCACGGTTTGGGTTGGGTTGGGTTGGTATGTAGTTTTGCTTGGGTTGAGTGGAGCTGAAATTTTTCAAACCGCAAACATTGGGTTAAGTTGTTTAAATTCCTTCAACCCGACATACCCAACCCATGAGCAGCCCTATGCCAAATGGGTCCGGCCTGGCCGGGGACCGATTTGGGACCAGTTATAGTTTTCGTCAAAAGAAGGTCTGGCCCGACCTGGGACAGGTTTGGGACCGGTTATGGGTCCGGTATAGGATTGGCCCGACTTTTCAAAAATATTATCATTTTATTACTGTTGCCCAACCACCATATGACCATTTTCCCCCATTTTTGACCTTTTTTGTCTCATTTACCCTTTTTTTATTAACCTGGATATACAACCCGCTATGCGAGTCGACTAATCCCAGGGCGACCACCTACTTTGCAAGTAGCCCGGAGTCACCGCATTTGAACCTCCGTGGCCACAAAGGGATTTTTGTTCCTCCTTGGATTTGAACCTGGAACCTCCTGGCACCTTTGACCTTTGGAGCCAAGCTCAAACCAATCAGGCACAACCCTTATGGTTCCGTCTATTCATCTATACTATATCATAAATCATTTGATAAAAACTCTTAAAAACCATTTATATGCATAAAGTATCGTTTATATATGCATATTACTTAAAATTCAAAATTACAATAAAAGCTTCATATTTGAATATGTGTAACTAACAGCAGATAAATATAATCAAATAAAGATAAATATCTCAATTTAAATATAAAAAAAATCAAGTATAATTAGGATAATCATTGAGTCATAACTGAATACTTAATCATTGTTTTTTTAATAAAAACTTGTATTATTAAACCAAAAATAAATTAGTTAGCTATTAAGTCTAAATTAAATTATAATAAAAATTTTGAATTAAAGAAATTATAAAAAAACAAGAACTTTTAAATAGTTAATTTGATACTAATATCTATATTTTTTTTTCCAAAATTTTAAGATATCTTCAAGTTTCTATTTTATTCAAAAATAAAAATGTTATCTCTTTTTCAAAACCACATAATAGCCAAAAGGTCTACAAACGCATGGTTTGTACTTTCAAAATCCTCACAAACCCAATGAAAGGCATTTACAAATAATCAAGAAATCTCATTTGACGCAATAAATATCATTTTGAGCAATCATTGAAGATTTATGTCTCAAAATAACCAATAAACTCATTATAATTTCTCAGGTTTGAGACCAAAACATACCCAAATGGAAAAAATCAACAAATATGAAACAAATTCATCAAGATGTATTTAAAACCCAAAATGGAGGTATTTTAACATGTATATATAGTTTTGCAAAGAAACTAGAACTCACATTGCTAGATTTATGCTAAATTCAGTTTCTAAACCAAATACTGAGCTTCCTTTAGTAAAGACTTGAAATCCCCAAGCTACAACTCCAAATCTATTGTGTTAAGCCCTCAAAAACACTTCCCTTAATCCCAAACTATACACAAATAAACCCAAGATAAGATTGAAGGTGAAAAGAACCAAACCCTAGATCTTAAAAGAAAAGGTTAAATGGTTACTTTAAAAAATGGAGTCTTAAAATTGCCAAAAAAAATCCTCCCAATGACCTTCAAAACTGGGTCTGAGGTCCCAAAACAATCAGATCTAGAAGGAATGGAGGGGGGGGGGAGAGTTGGGGAAGAATAAGTGAGAAAAACCACAAAATACGCAGCTTAAAAAGTCCTTGACTAGTTCCCGCGATCTTGCCTGTGACCCGAGGTCGCACGATAAGTTGCGCATGTGCCCTGCCACGCCAACAATGACATATGCAACCTTGGGTCGCACGCTAGGTCATGTGGCTCCCCTTTTCACATTTTTCTCCCCTTTTTCGTATCCGATTTGATCCTCGATGATTTCAATATGATACTTATATAAAACCTTAACTAATTAATTACATATTAATGGTCAAACGATCATCACAAAACCTAAATAAAAGCTTTCAAAATCATGGGCATTACATGAGAATACTTTGATAAATAGAAGACTTCTTATGTTTTGATTTTGTTGTGATAATTATGTGATAAGTAAAAAACCAGTGATTGTCAGTCTACAATCATCGACTCTGTTTGTTCATTATATGATTTTGCAGTTTTTTTTTCCGTTTTACCTCTACATACCTTCGATATTCCTAAATATTTATTTAATATTTTACCGTGACTTAAAACAGAATGATGGTTTTACTAGTGTTCTTGTATTTGTGTAAATCACATGTGTTCTCATTTTATATAGTGATGAATCTGGAGAAACGTAAAGAAAACAACTATGTTTTGTTTCATACGGAAAGAGAAACATGGCAACGATCTATTGTTCCCTTGTCGGGAATTCATACTAAAAGATCCTAAAAGTGGATCACAAGACCAAGTAACGGGACC